GTGCCTCCACTGCTTTGCCATGTGTCTTCTCAAGCCTCTGCTCTGGGTTTCTTGGGTTAATTTATATTCCCTTCTGCCCATCCATCTGGACTTGGTGCTCTCTCTCTCTCCCCAGCACCTTGATAACCAACTTGCTCAACAGTTGTCATTGAAATAGAAGCTAGTTTCCTTTTCAGAGACTGAAGGGTAGACACCTCATATTTCCAGGCCTCTTTGCCCCCAACATCCCCCCCCACCTCATTCTCTGTATCCATATCCCTGTTTCATGAATTCAGCAGTGGCCGGGGCGGGGGGTTGAATAGGGGGCGACTGGACAGAGAGAGGGACGCCTGAAAACGATTATTGTGATAACCCCAGTGACTACCTCAGGTGTCCAGCCCTGTTCCCTAGCAAGGCCCTAGACATCAAGGCAGAATCACTGCAGCCACCTGGCAAAGGTACTGCAGCACCATCTTGTGGACAACGCAGCCAAAATTTCATTCTATAATGAAATGCAATCAGTTTAGACACAATCCATCTCTGAATTTAAATAGGGAGCATGTCTTTTGTTCTGCTTTATATTTCTTAATTAAGCATATTCTATATTTTAAAAGAAACTTTTGATGATCAATCTGTATTATATGCACTTATGAACAACAAAATGATACTTATGAGTGTCACATCAGCAGATCAACTTTAAAAGTAAAATAAAGGCGGCATAAAGTCTTTCAACTCCAATGTGCAGCAGCGTCAACAGCAGTGGAGAGCTTGTTAAAAGCAGAATCTCAGTGCCCCTCCAAATAGCTGAACCTGAGCTTGGGTGCTAATCAGGGCCCCCATGACTCACGTTTAAGAAGCACAGATGACAGGAGTCAGACAGTAGTCCTGTATCCTTGGCACAGTACCACCATCTCCTTACACATCCACTCTCAGCTCCTCTGATCATCTCTTCTTAACCTCAGAGGCTCATGCATTATGGGAGGTGTCAAGACCTTGGCCCCTCTCTCCTCTGTGACACTGCTGTGAGGAAGGCCTGAATTCATAGATTACTTCATGATAAAAATCCTGTGCAAATGTAAGGAAAATCAAGAAAGAAATTCTTATGGTTCATACTCGGTGATCACAGAATCTGTTTAGATCACCTACATCAGCAGCAGAACAAAATCCAGCTATAACTGTGCAGCATGCGTGGACAGTATCTGCAGAGTTCACCGTCTTTCAAAGGTACCCTCAGGACAGTCTTCCCAGAGCTCAGAAGAGTAAAATTACATTAAAATATTTTTCAGAATGTTTTATTAAACAATAGATTTATTTCACCCCTTACTAGTAAGTAGCTCTATAATAAATATTTGTTTACACAATGATTGTTGCACTAAAATCTGTTACAATTTCACATTTAGCTTTTCTTGTACAAATCATATATAATATCTTTTTTATTAATTAAATTTGTTCTTTGACAATTTCATGCATGCATTTAATTCATTTGGTTGGCTCTCGTCTCCTTCATGCCCCTCACTACACTCCCTTTCCTGCTAATCTCTTCCCCACGTTTGCATCTTTTTGTTTTGTTTGTGTTCTTCTGAGTTTGACCACGGCCTTCTGTGTGGCCTTGGGATTCAAAGTATCCATGGGAGCCTGATGGATTCACTATGCATGCAATATCGAAGGTAGTGGCTCCCACTCTCCCGGAGTCCATTCTTAGCCTAGATGTGGTTCAGCAGTAAGGGGTAGGGCCCATGAGCTCCTCCCCCAGCCATGGCCATTTGTTAGGAAGGCCTGTCTTGTGCACGCCCACCACAAATAATCATAGCCGCTGTGAGCTGGTGATTACATTAGCTGTGTCTAGAGGATGGGATTTCGCTGTCCTCCTTATCTTCTGGTCCTCACATTCTTTCTTTCCCCTCTTCTGCAATGTTCTCTGAGCCTTGGGGGAGTAATATAAATGACTTGTTTAGGCTGAGCCCACATCTATCACTTACTCTTGGCATCTTGGGCAACCATGAGTCTAGGAGACCTTCCACATTCACCATCCTGGGGCCTCAGAACAATCCCCATTAAGCCCAGGATGTTGCCCAGCAGGTGCTCCAGGATGCTAGTTAATCAAACCACTAATTAGCTCTTAGCTGGGTCTGAACAGAAGGCTAGTGTCCTTCACACTAATCGTGCCATTTATGATAATCATATTATCTGCATCATTAGAGCCCCAACGTAGCTACATAAAGACTCTGTTGTCTCACTAATATATATCAAATATTCATTAAGGAAATGGACTCCTGACAGTTGAGAAATCTTTTGGTAGTGCATACAGATTTAGAGGTCATAAACTGTTTGCACCTCATTACCTTGAATCGGGAGGATGGAATTAAGAAGAAAACAGCAAAATTACTGTCTTAGCTTTGCACATATTTCAAAAGGAAAATTGGTACCGAGAAACTGTTGGATAATAACTAGGTGAAATTTTATGAAACATATTATCTAATATCCATAAGAGATTGTAACATTTGTGTTGCCCTCGAACTCCAATGTCTCATTTCCCCCCAAAATAGAAGTGGTCTCAAACTCTGAAAATGAAGCATGGAGAATAACTTCCTATGCATTTGGCCATGGAGCTGAGACACAAAATACTCACTTCAAATTAAGTTAGGTCTTTGCATTGTTTACAATTTGTGATATTGTGGAAATTTTGCCCCTAATTTACTATATATAGTAAAATCTTGCTCTTTTCTCTGTATTGGATTAATTCCATTACCAATGTTATCCTCAACCATTTAAAAGAATTCAGAATGTCAGTTCCTTAAAATCACTTTCTTTAGTGTTAAAAATGTAATTATAATAACATAATACAGTTAGTAATGCAAGAATGCACTTATTATAATACAATGCATTGTAAGAATTATAACAAATTTGTATGGTGAAATAACCACCTAATGCCTGCTCATGCAAAGCTAATGTCTATGAGGGTAAGAGCCTTCATGCATACCTGGCAGCAATTGGCTCATCTCTGAGACCCTAACAATCCCAGCATCTGCCAGGGAATGTCGCACAAACGTTCACTTTATAAAAGAGTGCAAGAGCCACATGCACATGCACATGGGTGTGTACATGTGGAGGTCAGATAACAACTTGATAGAGTTGGTTCTCTCCTTTCATAATGCGGATCTCCCGGATCAAACACAGTTCATTAGGCATAATAGTGGGAGCCTTTGCCTGCTGACCAATGTTGCCATCCCATCCAGGAAAGTTAAACACCGGTGCAGTGCTCTTGTCTAGTACGTAGTCCTGTCCTGCGGTCCTGTTGTATTTCTGTCAGTGGTCACAGTAAAGCCTTTCTAAAGCATCCCTTGCCGTAGGTCTAATCCAGATTTCCAGGTCAAACAAATGTTGTCTTTTTGGTATCCTTTATACTGAAACCATTTGTCAGATTTTCTTTGCCTTTCATGACATTAACATTTTTGAAGAGGATAGTTTAAGACTTCTTAACAAGTAGATAGAGATCTGTATTTGGAACAGAAATGCTAAGGAAATGACACCACAGAGCATAACTTCAGTAGGTAGCATGGTGGTGTCCTGACTCATCACCGTGGTTGGCAACTATGAGTGACTTCCTCCAAGTTCTCCCTTCATATTGAATAAGTAGTCATTAGGAGTTTCCTGAGACCAGCAGTTCTGTTCCCCAATACATTTATTCTATCGTTTCAGCATCCATCCATGATCCTTGCCTGAACCAATTATGACTTACTTGGTTGGAAATGGTGGTTTTCTGATGCACTTATTCTTTGAATTTACTAGGTAGAATGGTACTATATATGTATGAAGAGCAGTTTGGTGTATTATTCCCCTTGTGTATGCAATCTATCTATCTATCTATCTATCTATCTATCTATCTATCTATCTATCTATCATCATCTATCTATATCTATCATCTATCTATCTATCTATCTATCTATCATCATAATCTATCTATATCTATCTATCATCTATCTAGCTATCATCTATCATCTACTAGTCTTTCAGTCTCTACACCTACATATCCATCCATCCACCCATCCATCCATTCCCCACCACTCCCTACCATCCTCCTTCTACCTTTCTATCAATAAGGGTTCAAAAGTTCTTTCTGTTCATTTCATTAATATTAATTATTCACATTATTCATTTTTATGGTCCTGTTTTTCTAATTCTGCTCACTAACTATCCCTTTGGTCTCACTCCTGAGTCTGGCATGGCCCAGTCAGTTTCTGAGTATCGTTTATTCTGTATCCCTTAGTATATCCACATAGACACTGGCATAAATGCTCAGATACTGCTAACCTCAGCATATCTGCATTCAAGCTGCACCCAAACAACACATTTTATTCTTGTAACGAATCTTTCTTAAGCTACTTCTATGTCCTTGTTAATAATATTACTCATGATCCACTGGGAAACCAGGCAGCTAAACTGATCTTTAAAACATAACATACTAAATTATGGTAACAGTGTTATATGCTCCATGGGAGCACAGAAGAAAAGCTCCCAACCCCACTGCATCAATTAAGGAAGACTCCAGGGAGAATGTTATCAACCCTTAGACCTGAGAGATGAATCAGAATCCACCTGGGGAGGGGGACAGTGTTCCAGACTAGGGAAGTACATCTCTCTCTGAGGAACCAGGCAAATGTGCTGAGTTTAATACAGTGTGAGCAAGTTCGCATTGGCAACGGGATGGGGGAGTGTTGGAGACTGTGGGAGAGAAGAAGCTAGACAAGTTTGCTGGAGCCTTGTAATGTCTGCTAAAGACCCAGCCCAACACCTGTCCCAAGAGCAGCAATATTCAGCTTTGGCTGTATGTTCTCATCTTGTGGGGAGCCTGTTAGAAAAATAACAACAAAGCTCCAACCCAGACTATTTAAGCTGGGATCACGAGGGGCAGGAAGTGGGAAGCTCTGGGACGTACATTTCATTTTCCATACCTGGCTTCTCAGGGGGAATCATCATGAATAATGGTGATCTGATTTTAAAAGTTCTATTTTATTTTATAGGATTTTGAACTCAACAATGAACTCAAAATGAATGTCCTAAACTTGTTAGAAGAAGTTTTGCGAGACCCAGACCTTCTTCCCCAAGAAAGGAAAGCCACATCAAATATCCTGAGGTAAAGCGATCACATGTGCTAATTAAATTATGTCACTGACTTGTGCTATGCTCATAGAAAATAGATCCTATCAAACCAGAAGGTACATCTTAGAATTTTGTGGGCAACAGGAGTTGTGTTCTCAGCAGCAAAGTATTATCTATCATCTTTTTCCTGGGGACAGTTTAGAGTCAGCTGTGCCAGGTAGACTTTGGACTGGGCAGCATAACTTGTGTGGAGTGTATACGCCTATGTGTAGGTAAATGGTTTCTGTAGAGCAACACGGTAAAGGAAAGAAGCCTTGAGAACGCCTGCTGTGAGTCCAGTCAGCGTTATGGAGAAGTTTTAATCCCTCTGTGAGTGCTAACTAGGTATCATTAGCTTACCTTTGTGGGAGAGTATGGTAGTGTTTCTGTGAGAGAGGACACATTCCCACAGAGTAGTAATGCACTGTCCTCAGTTTCTTTCATCAGTCCTAGCTAACTTTTCTTTTCACTTACCTTAAGCTTTTCATATCAGATAGATTTCATATTTATGTGGACTTGAGTAAAGCATGACCCCTACATGTCTCTATGATGAAAGCTTGAATTCGGGGTATCACATTAGAGACGTGTGTTTTTCCATAGTTATAACACCCAGCATCCACACAGGTAACAAGCTGTTTTATGCTTCTTGAATTGGTGGGAGCATATTTTTTCCTAGTCTATTCTATATGAAGAAGGCATTCATCAATGGCTGTGTGCAGACATTTCAGTTATGGCTTCCCAGCTCGCCTCACATCCATCTGTTGGGGCCTGTTACCTCTTTACCATTCTGGTTTCCAGTTCTACCTTCACTTACAGCGCTGAAAAAGATCCTTTCTTTCTCACAAGCTTGGTTGCATTGAGTCTTGGCATAACAGTATCTTTTTAAAAGCATGTATGGAGAGGAATCCATTCAGCTCAGTCCACCATGGTTTTGGAAGTCCATGATGCAGTGATGCCAAATTTTGGGTTGTGATATTTTAGCAATTGCTCCATAAGTTTCTTACCCCCATTAGCTGAAGATCCCATAGCTAGATACTATAATATAGGAACTGTTAGAAGACTAACTGCATCCCCCACTGAAAAACTGACATGGTCAAACTCTAACATCCAGTGCCTTAAATTACGGCCTTCTTCGTGAATAACATCACCGTAGATACAGAGTTGAGTTGAAGACATCTAGGAAGGCGAGGCCCTAATCTAATACGACTGGGTCTGTATAAGACAATAACCAAAGGAGACAGACAGATTCAGAGGATACCATGTGGAGGTGGAGGCAGAGAGAGGAGTTATGCATCTGCAAGCCAAAGACCACCAAGAATTGCTGGCAAGTCATCTGAAGTTAAGGAAAGCAAGAAAGAGCTCCCTCTGGGCTTCAGAGTTAGCACACCTCTGCTCACACTTTGACCTCTGATTTCTGTCCAGAGCTGTGAGACAGTCCTGTGCATTTTTGTTGTTCTCAGCCACCTACTGTTTGTTTGGGCAGCTTAGAAAATACTTAGGAGTCTTCCATATATTTCCTATTCTATGAAAGCATATAAGTAAGCTTACCTAGGCCATGACCCTATACCGGGTCTGTTTTCATATTTTAGAATTATATATATGTAGTCACATTGAGAGTGGTTTCTGTAGATGAGTGGTTATGTCTAGGAGTGATTGTTACCCTTTTCTTATTATGCAAATAGCTTTTCATACTCTTTATATATTTAAAATCACTGACATTTTATTTTAAACCTATATTCTGGAAGTTTACACTCTTAGGGACATTTTTCTAAATACCTATGAAGGAAATGAGGATGTTCAGATTGGGAAGAATGGTCAGAACTGACCAACATGAGGCCTTTCTGTGGCTAATTCCTCAAGACCCCTTTGCTGGCACTCCTCAGAGCTTCTGTTTGTACCAAGAGATGACCTCAGAAGCCAGTTAACTAGAGTTATTATGTAAGATGAATCCCATTTATCATTCCAGGTTTTTATTATTTATCAACCCTCAAACATGTCAGTTCTCTTTGCTGAATAATGATCTGAACAGCAAAAACATAAGGCCAATGAGGAACAGGCATGTTAATAAATGGCCTGGGAGTACGACACTGCACAGGGACCCTTTCTAACCTTTGCAAGGTGTCACAGGGTTCAGTCTTTGATAACCACCTAAAACTGTCAAAGTTCTTAACAAATTGGAACTTTAGTTTCTGCATTTATAAATAAACCTGTTGTGAAGATCACATGTTTTAATATGGTTTAAAGAGATTAACACAATGTCTGAGCTATGGTTATTCCTATTACAGCAATTACTGTTCTTGTTAGATGCACAGATAACTCTTGGGTGATACGGTCCAAATGAAACCTGCTGGACCTTAGTTGGTCACCACCTTTCTTACACAAAGAAAGTATAGACCAACATCAGGGCTGAGACCAATGACTCTTGGCTCTATGTTTAGACTATTTTCATTTCTATAATTGAAGGAGGAATTTTCCACTCACAGAACGTAGAGCCATTTTTTCCTTTTAAGTTTATTAATATTTCATATTAAATGCACAATTATTAGACTAATTATACTGCTGACAAATAGGGTGGACAGGATCCTGGTGTGGGTGTCAAAGCCAGGAGTCGGGAGTCAGGAGGGGAAAAGCAAGTCTGGACATGTGAGGGGAACAGTTATGACCTCCCAATTAATACAGGTGATGCTGTGGGGGATAAACCTACCATATTATGGTTATGCATAGTCCAGGGTATGAGTTACTTTTCTGCTGCTGTGATAAAACACCATGACCAAAGCATCTTATAGAAGGAAGAGTTTATTTGGCTTGTGGTTCCAGGGGAGAATCCATAATGGCAGGGGAGGCATGGCAGTAGGAGATAGCCAGGACAGAAAGCCAAGTGATCACATCTTCAAGCGGGCATAGGAAGCAGAGAGAGCCAGACTGGAAGTGGGCATGGCTATATGCTAATATCTTGAAGCCTTCCCTTAGTAACATGCTTTCGCCTGCAAGGCTGCACCTCCTATAACCTTCCCAAACAGTGCTACCTACTGGGTAAAACATGTCCAGATACTTGGAATCTATGGCGGACATTCTCATTCAAACCACCGTACTCAAACACTAGTGACTTCTATGTGTTCCAGTCATATAACAGTAAGATATAGACTAAAGTATATGTTTAAGCATATATTACAGTAATACACTGAAGCAAAAGCCTGGGGCTAGAGAGATGTCTCAGTGGTTCAAAGCACTTGCGGCTCTTCCTGAGGACCTAAATTTGGTTCCCAGCATCCATATCAGGTGGCTCACAACTGCCTGTAACTCCAGCTCTGGGGGATCCAATACCCTCTTCTGGCCTCCATAGGCACCTGCACTCACATGCAGAAACCCACACACAGACACACAGACACACAGACACACACAGACACACACACACACAATTAAAATTAAAAATTAAAAAAAAATAGCTTTCTAAGATGAGCCACCCTGAGTCTGTACTTACTGATTAATATGCATCATTACTATAAGTGTCTGTTGCTTTGTTTGTAAATAAAAACCTTTGCTCAAGATGTACATTTCCAAAGCTCAGCATGCTTGTAATCTCAACACTTGGGAAGTGAAGGTAAGATTGCCATGAGTCCAAACCCATCCTGAGTTACACAGTGAATTCCATGCCAGTCCGGACTATAGTGTAAGGCCCTGTGCTAAACAGACAAATAAACAAACAAAACCAGACATTTCCAACTAGTTGGCCAAGTAGCAGTCTTCAAAATCTATTCACTATAGAGATTTTTGTAGACACCTAACATGCCATAAAATGAAAAGAAATGGTGAGGGTCAGCTGTGATGGGCTAGGGTCATGAAAAGTGACCTTCCCACCTCAGTATCCCAAATAGCTTCAACAAGGGTCAGGAAATGTGAACAACGAAGCCCCAGGACATCATGCAATGTTAAAGCCAGGCCATTGAGAAATGTATTTGATTGATGCTAACTAACATCTGGACCATTTCTTGCCAAGAGAAAGATTTCCAGGCTCATAAAGAATGTCTTTCTGGGGGCTGGAGAGATGGCTCAGCAGTAAAGAGCACTGGTTGCTCTTGCAGAGGACCTGGGTTCAATTCCCAACATGGTGGTTAACAACCTACTATAACTCCAGTTCCAGGGGAATCTGATCCCCACTTCTAACCTCCACAGGCATTGCATGACAAGGATGTGACTATATACACACAGACAAAACACCTAAACACATAAAATTAAAAATAAAAATGTCTTTCAGCTGGGCGTGGTGGCACATGCCTTTAATCCCAGCACTTGGGAGGCAGAGACAGGCGCATCTCTGTGAGTTCAAGGCCAGCCTGGTCTACATAGTGAGTTCCAGGACAGCTGGGGCTACAGGGAGACCCTGTCTCAAAAAGACCAAAAAAATAATAATGTTTTTCCTGCTTCACAAGCCTCCCTCCAAGAACCTGGACTCTATTGGAAACAATGATCTATACACAGGGAATCACATTTAATTGTGGTTGAACTCTCTTTGGAGAAAGTCATCTTTAACTTATATCTTGCTCATTTTAGACACAGAGCCTCTTTTCTTTCTGCTCCCAGTCATGTGGCTTATTCCTAGTATCACTAGTGTAATCTACAAGGATCTTGAAGGAAGGTGGAGGGGAAGGAATTAAGATTTACTGGTTGTTTTTTATGGGGGACCTTGAAGACAAGTCTTCCAGAGCCTGTACAAGAGAAGCATCTCCTTGAAGCACAGGGAGAGCATAGCTGGTCTAGAACCTCAGGCACATTCCTTTCTTTGACCTTCTTTTCCTTTAAAATGGAGAATAATGAATGGTTAGAAGAAACTGTTTATAGTATAGGTATATCGAGTGCTTTGCTCCTATTTGGCATGTGATGGGCACACAGTAAACCCATCTCAGTTGATTGATATTTTTGAGGATTGCAATCACTATTTCCATTGACTATTAAAACAACAGAACCACACATCATCATTTCTGTTCAAACTGGCTTTCTCCAAAGAGGCTACAAGCCAAGGAATGCAGGCAGCCCCTGAAGGTGGGACAAAATGAGGGTTTAGAGTCTTCTCTAAGGCCTCCAAATTCAGGAATATTACTCAGTTGACCTGCCTTAGACTTCTGGTCTCCAGAACTATTAAATAACAAGTTTTGTAGCTTTAACCCTCCTGCTCAGCAAAGAAAAAGAAAAAGCAAACAAACAAATGAACAAAAACAACCTGGCTTCCCTCATGGACATGCTACATGCTTTGGGACTGCTCTTAAATATCTTACTTCTCAGCATGTGCTTGCAACTTCATTATGGAAAACTTAATATTTGGCCCAGATGGAAAGTTATTAAATGGAATGTCCACTCACTATATATCATTCCCCTGGACTCAGAATTTCTGTTGGATATAAAATATCCTCCTATTTTGGGTATTAACTAACTTTTGTATTATTCATCTAAGAAAATGAAAGATGCTTTTGAAAGTTGAGTAACACCAGGTGTGACATACACAGCTGGGAAGGCAAGAATTACCTGCCCACTCCGGTCCCATTTTATTTCACAGTTTGCCACATAATCTGGAAAGAGGATACATTGGATGTCTGCCTCAGCTTCTTCAGGGAGTGTGGAGAAGGGACTGGAGGAGTGTGAGTGGACAGGAGGACCATGGGTACAGCTTACAGAGTGGGTGCTACTAGAGAATGGATGAGTCCCACTCTCCATCCTGGGGAGCAGCATCCAGCTTCCCTCATGCTAACTGTGACATTGACTGTTTTATTCACAACCTTGTACTGTATATAGCAGGCTGGATCCTCATTCTAAATGAGCTCTCTTGCATGTCATGTGACTTTCTGGGTTTTTTTTTGTCTCTAGGACTGCAGTCTGTTCTACCCCACAGCCTTACATACCTGAGCTGTTATTATACTTCCCAACCAGGGAACTCAGAACCATCTTGTATCATCATTCCCAGCATGCCCATTTTCTGATTTTCAATGAAGAATGTTCTTTCTTCTTTGTATTTATTTTTAGGGCCCTTTCCCAAGATGATCACGATGACATCCACTTAAAATTAGAGGATATAATTCAGATGGTAAGTTCAGCCATAGTACCACTCAGGTGAGCAGTCTGCTTGGAACTCTCAGTGTCTATGAAAGTCTGTGAAGTGAACCTCACTGGGCACAGGATCCAATATTGGTTGGTGATATTAACACTGGCTTCAGTATTTTAGAGCTTGTTGCTTTTTCTTTCAGAGCTAGACTGTAGTGAAAGACTTCGTGCTCCACAGCCACACTGTCTGCTTGTAGACCTACAGTGTGATGGTGAGCACCTTGCTCCTGGCTATGTTTCACTCCTTCATCATCTCTTGCAGACAGACTGCCCGAAGGCTGAGTGCTTTGAGACGTTGTCAGCCATGGAGCTGGCTGAGCAGATCACACTCCTGGACCACATTGTTTTCAGAAGCATTCCCTACGAGTGAGTGCTCTATTCCCCAGTAGCTGGTCTAGAAGCTGCAACTATTTCTTAGGCAGATGGGTATGTTCACCCATGTGCAGAGGTGTGAGCCTTCATCTCAAGGTGCTTTGACCCTACTTGAATGACTCTTGGTTTCACTTCATGTTGGCATATTGACTTGGAGACCCTCGCGGTGGCCACACTTGTGATTTTTTCTGTATGTGCTGGGGTTACCACAGAATGTGAATTTCTCTGTATTCCTCTGTCTTTGAATTACAGAAACCTCAATATAGTTCTGAGAGTGCTTCTTAACCCTGACTGTGCCTAAAAGCCACATGGGAAGCCTGTTGAAAATATCCTTTCATACATAACCTCCCTCAGAGATTCTGATATCAGTAGATTTGGGGGAGGCCCAGGAAAGTGTCTTTCCATGAAAATGCCAGATAATTTTGAGAGGTCCAAAGTACCACTTTGAGAAATAGTGACCTGGGTAAATGCTAAATGCTCTGAATTCTGATATAGGGATTCACTCACTTCTGTAAGGTAACAAGAGTTGCTGAGCTTTGTGGCTGTGAATCTGTCACCAGCCTCTTCATTCCTCATGTGCAGCCAAGTGGAGGCCCTTTGAGAGCTCTACAAACAGGGCTTTGCTTACACAAATGTCAACCATTAGCACACATCATCCATGAACTGGTAACCACACTGAACGTGATGGAAAGGCTGGGCACGATGTGAATGGGCTCCACTCCACACATAGGCCATCCATGGTGTTGGAGGTCAGTGAGAATAGGGCGGATGGGCTAGAGGGCTAGATCTGCAGCTGTGTTGGAAAGGCCAAGAACACTCTTTCAGGCTGTTCCTTTGTGTGTTTTGTCTTCTTTTCTTCCACCCTTTCCAGCATTCATAGACTTACACATGAACATGATAGAAAAATTGCTGGCCATTCCAGTGAACTCAGAGATAGTTTGAAGATCACTCACAAACACAGCATCACTTCCTCTGCTCCCTCCCCGTCTTACTACCCTCTGGTGCACTGAGGGTGGGAGTCCAAAACTTCTCTACAAGAGAAGAAAGCAGAGAGAACTTTGTGGTGACTCTTGGTGTGGCCTCTTCTTGGTATTCCCACTTCCCCTCCCTGTGCCCTTTTGTTCTGGAACACCAGATATTTCCACGTGTGGACTTGTGTCTATACTCTACATCTCACACTGCAGGACAGGATCAGTACCCAGAACAGCAAGGACAAAGAACCTTGCAGGAGCATCCACCCAACATATCTGCATTAAGAATGTATTAGAATATTTGCAATTCAACTTGTTTTTCTAAATGCCCCCACACAGCAATTCCTATGCACTCTATCTCAGTTGTCCCATTGAGACAATGCTGTGGCCTAATGACCTATCTGTGAATGAAGAGAATGCACAGGGATGTCATTCAGAAGACATCCCACCAGGATCAGCTCCCTACCCTTGGAAATTGTGTTTTTCAGAGAAAATCAGAGCCGAGTACAAGGAAAAAAATCCATACTAATTAACATTTTTGGTTAGGATTTTTTGGGGGGGGGGGAGTTGGTGAATACATTATAAAAAGCTAGTCCAGAAGAAACAGCTTTGGCTATTGAGTTACTTTCTTTGTCTCTCTTAGGTTTCTGGGTGTTTTCTAACTTGAGAGAAATCTTTATAGAGACAAAGTTCCAAATGTTTATTATTATTATTATTTTATGTGTGTGAGTATATTTGCCTGCATGTATGTAAGTGCACCAGTGTCATGCAATGCTCACAAAGGTCAGAGGAGGATATCCAATTCTCCTAGAACTGAAGTTACAAGTGGTTGTGAGTCATCATGTGGGTGCTGGGAACTGAACCTGGGTCCTCTGCAAGAGCAGCCAGTGCTCTTAACTTCTGAACCATCTCTCTAGCCCCAAAGTTCCAAATATTTATAAGTGAAAGCTGGAGAGTGAAAAATCCTTCTTTTCTCTTTTCTTCCTTCCTTCCTTCCTTCCTTCCTTCCTTCCTTCCTCTCCCTCCCTCCTTCCTTCCTTCCTTCCTTCCTTCCTTCCTTCCTTCCTTCCTTCCTTTATCTTTGGTATTGAGTTATAGAATGCAAGAATTGAACTGAAATTCCTTAGAGATGGTCATTAAAACAGGGGCCAAATAATGTTCCATCGAAGTTAACTTAGTGTGTCTATCTAATCTTCACAAATACTCAGGGGCTGGAGAGATGGCTCAGTGGTTAAGAGCACTGACCCACAAATATGCAGTGTCTGGCCACCATTTCTTATAAACTGAATTGGTTCTGTATTTTGTTCTGAACTTTCAGGGAATTTCTTGGGCAGGGATGGATGAAGCTGGATAAGAATGAAAGAACACCGTACATTATGAAAACCAGCCAACAGTTCAATGATGTGAGTAGTGTGACCACAAAACCTTGGGCATGCTACAGGAGGATGAGCATTGTGACCCTAAGGCTCCTCTAAAATAAAGCAGCTCTGGGGTTTGGGGATACAGCTCAGTGGTAGAGCACTTGCCCAAGTGTACATGAAGGCCTAGATTTGAGCCCCAGAACCACAAAAAAAGTATCCATCACCTTAAACAGAACTGATGGAATAATAAAGACAAGCTTAAATCTCCTCATACCCTTAAAGGAATGTGATCATTTCCAGACACAAGTGTGCTCAGTTATGTATAAGATGTTATTATTATTTTTTTAATCATTATTTTGTGCTCATATACTAACAGAATGAGTAACATGTGTACTGACCCCTGGTGGTTGGCAATAAGATTGTACTGGCATGACTTCCCTCATTCAGCCCAAAGTATGTTTTCTGGGACCTCTTACGGCATAACCTCATTGCTGCTGTGGCTCTGGGCAGTGGTGATCAGCTGCCAGTCTATTTCCCATCTCTGCCTTTCTCCATCAGTAACATGGTGAATTGATTTTATATCCATCAATTTTTTGTTGGTTCTGTTTTAATGGACTCAGACTTGTGAGAGAATAAGTAACAGATGTGGAAGTGTCTTCAAGCCCACCCAGGCAAAGGGAAATTTCCTTTCCAGATTCAGGAGAGTTCAGAATAAGGAAAAATGATGGTGTTTATATAAACAAAGGAAACCCACAGGCAAATTAGCAAGCTGCCTAAAATCAAAGTATAAAGAACACTGTGGATTCACAAGACAGGGTTCTACACAGAGTCCACTCAGGGTGAATATATGCTAAGTGAAGATATCATGTGATTAGCTTCAATGCTTAAGGACAGGGTGTGACAGATCTGGGACATTCAACAGTAGAGTTCTGGCTATGGAAAATAAAGCTGTTACCTGGGCTGTTCCTACACAGGAGAGAATGCGTGCTCCAACAGAGATTCAACCCCAGGCTCCAGACCCATGCATCTCCTGCACTTGGACGGCCATTACATTATGCTCTGACCAAGGTCCAGCCCCAGTAGTACTTGCTGAGCCTGCTTCTGCATCTTCTTATTTTGAGTAGTGGCCTCGCCGTGAGCTCACCCAGGCATAGCATCTAGAGGTCACCTGTGCTTCACTCCTGTCCCCTTCTCACTTCACTCTTGCCATCTCCCCAACTCCAAATCTTAAACCTACCAGTATCTCAGACCTTCCTCCCCTCCCTGTCCCATTCCCATGAACTTGATTAGCCTTTCAGCCTTCACCTCCAATGGCTCTGACCTCATCTTTCTCCTGCCACCTCACTGCCAGTTCCCATGCTGCATGCCATGTCACAGGGATGGCATCTCTGAAGTGCTAGTCTGATTATGACTCTCTGTAAAAATCTAGCTGTGGCTTCCCCTCATCCTTAGTGTATAGGCCCAGCTCTCAGGCTGACACATAGAAGCCCCAGTTTCCTCAGCTGGCTATCAGGTCTTCTGTTATGCTACAGCTCCCGGTGCTATACCTTTGCTCTACTGTGATGGAAAGTAGTGAGCAAGTCCTACCCAGCCTTTCTGATATAGGCATGACCTCTTCCCAGAAGACTTTTCTGGACTACTATTGTTCCCACATTCCACCTACAGACTCTGAAAAGACCTACTATGCACATGCATGTGTGAGCATGCATGTTGTATGCATGTACCTTATGTGTTGTATATGCATGCACACTTGTGTTACATACATGTATGTGTATGGTGCATACATCTATGCATGTGTGTTTTTGTGTGTTGTATGCCTGTGCATGTTATATGTGTGTATGCATGTGTGTTTGTGTGTGCTTGCATGTATATGATGTATGCATAGATGTGTGTATTATATGTGTCTATGCATGTGTGTGGCCTGTGTGTTTTATATGTTTGCATGTGTGTGTTTATGTGTGTATGCGTGTATGTATATTACATATGTATATGTGTGTATGTGTGTTGTATGCCTGTGCATGGGTATTGTATATGCATATGTGTATGTATGTGTATTGTGTGTGTATGGAGGGGAGACGGTGCTTAGGGAGGTCAAAGATTGACATTGGGATGCCTTCCTCAATCTGCCTTAGTTTTTAGAGACTGGGTTTCGCACTCGTCCTGGAGCTTAGCATTTATGCTAGACTGGCTGGTCAGTGAGCCCTCACCCTCTGGGATCTGCCTGTCTCCTTCTCCCAGCACTAAGGTTACAGATGCACATTGCCATGCCTGGCTGAATGCTGAAGATCCAAACTCAGGTCCTCAAGTTTACACAGAAAGAACTTTATCCACTGAGCCACCTCTCCACCCCCTGAACAAACCTAGCTTTGCATGTCACTGCATGGTGTTTGCTTGTTTACATATTTCCCTCTTGTAAGGACACATTTACTTCTGGGAAGTGCATGTGGCATCCCATTCCCTCCTCTCACATCCTTATGATAACCTGAGGAAAGAATTCTCCAAAACCACTGTTTGGAAAATCCTAACAACTTTATTGGGCTTGCTAGCTGAGCATGGGGTGCTGGTTTACTTACAGAAGAGTGGGCGACCCCTCTCGTTTATAGCTGTGCTGGAAAGTCCACACTCAAACATAGATCCTATAACTTCCCAACAGCCAAGCAAAATGGCAAGAGGAGTGCTTCATGGCATTCTTGGCTTATATACCCTTAGCCCCTCCGCCCTCATGCACTTAAGGTCAACTGATTGGGTAGGAGGGGTAACTGCCCACCCACTCCTTTGCAGGAGCATGGGAAGGAGGTGTGACTATAGCATGCTGCCATAGTGGTCAGAGGAACTTCCCAGGTGACATTTCTGTTCCTCACACTCCCACCTCCACACACACAGCTGAGCTCATAGTGCCTTAAGGTTAGTGTATTAATCAGCTTTCTGTTACAGTAATGAAATACTTAAGATGATTAACTTTTAAAGAGAAAATTTTCATTCTGGCTCATACTTTTGGCAATATTGGACTAAAATTGCTATGAACCTCTGGTACCAGATGGCAATGACAAAGAACATGTGGTAGGGCAAATTGCTCAGCCCAGGGACAGGAAGCAAAAGAATAAAGAGGAAGGGGCCTGTTACCACAGTCCTTCAGTGTAGGCCTCTTTGGTCAAAGGCCCTCACACAATGCCCCTCTACCAACAGGTCCACAAAACTTCCAAGAGTCCCACACTGGGGACAAGACCTTGCCTCGTAGATCTATGGGGATAGTCCACATCTAATCTACAACATACTACTCTGGGACACAGATAATAATATCACTTCTTCCAACAAACTGGATTCTCCGTTATCCTCTCCTCATAATAAGGCTGAACAAGTGATTAATAAATAGCGTCCTACTAAGTGTTTTAATGAGTGTCCACATGATACCCAGAGACACTCTAAGAGCTTGTGTGTCTTCAGAGAGTGGGAGTGAGCCTCTGATGCCAGATGGCATCAGATTTAGTATGTGGATACAAGATCACATGCCCCAGCCTGTTCTGATAATGATTGTCTTCTGCTCTTTTCTTTTCCATATTTTAAAAGTTGAATTACTTAAGCTAGCTTTGACTGGTAGAATTATAGTACTTAGTTTTGAGGTTATAGATTATTTTCATTGCCAGTAGCATTTTAGAAGAAAATATTCTGTCTTTACAGCTAAGTGTTTTTCTAGTTTGAGAGTGGACCAGTTTAGAATTCAGATTGATGGACGCGAGTGATTTTTTCTTTCTGTATGATAACTGAGGTTTCTCAGAGTGAGTATATTATCCACACACAGTTGGAGGTAAAGGAATATGTGTCCCTAAGGACTGACACCCTGACCCACAACATGACCTTTCCTCTAGAGTTAGGTCATTCTATCTCACTTCCTTTCTTGGTAGTACTCTTTCATCAAAACTACTGATGGACAAAATCAGTTTTTCTGCCAACAAACTGGATTTTTAGGAGGCCCATAAATCAGTTCACTTTCAGAATGAACAGGTGCTGGGCTGTTTGTCACTGTTGTTATCATTACAGATTTCAGTCTCTTTGAAAGCTGGTGTCTAAAGATGGCTATGGGCTTTGTACTACGTGAAGCTTGCTTTCCTGATGTGTTTGTAAGGCAGTCTAACTATTTGTCTAAATGCATTGCTTCGACTCTTCGATAACATGTCTGGTCTGTTTGATTGTCTTAGATGAGCAACCTGGTGGCCTCCCAGATAATGAATTATGCTGATATTAGCTCCCGCGCCAACGCCATTGAGAAGTGGGTAGCAGTCGCTGACATTTGCAGATGCCTACACAACTACAATGGTGTGCTGGAGATCACCTCGGCCTTAAACAGAAGTGCCATCTACAGGCTGAAGAAAACCTGGGCCAAGGTGTCCAAGCAGGTGAGCATCAGTGTGTGACACACCCTGCGGCTGAGAGGAAAGGTGGGGAGAGAGCCAAGATGAATACTGCTAATTGGGAAATCATTAGCTGAAATGAGCAGCACGTTGCCAAAGAAAGGTGCCAACATGGATAATTACTGAGCTCTTACCACTTAATTAATTCCCCTCATGTGCATCTCCAAAACACTCATTAAAACAATTTGGGGGGAACCTCAAACAATGTGGCTGTCAGTCACGACTTCCTGAATTATTTCTGGAGGGCAGTTGATCACAGGACTAGAGGATGAATCCATTTATATGTTTCTTCCAAAGCCTTAGACTCAAAAGACCTCAGTGTTCAACTTTTCCTTTGTCGTTCTGGTAGCAGATTTAAAGTTTTGGTCTGGTGACTTAGATATGTAGACATATAATTTGTTCATTTTCTTTTGTTCAATTTACCTTGCCTCTGTTATTTCTACTCAGATGATTTCAAGGATCAAATCGAATCATAGTTCTCCCCACTCTTCCAGGCTTCTCTATGGAGAGGCTTTCTCTGGCCTTCTGGAAGATTGTCTCCACCTTTGGTCTTAGTCCTTTGCTGGTTGATTGTCAGGTACAGGCTGTTGTGAACTACCTGTTCCTGGGGTGCAGGTGGTTTTCCAACCTTCCCCAGAGCCACACCCCACAAATGCTTCTGGGGAGCTGGGCTGACCTCTGTCTTCCACTCCCATTGACTCTGATGATGCTCTGAGCCTGGGGTGTGTCTCCCTACTAGCAGAGTCAGCTCTGCCCTTGGTGATCCTGCTGGATATGTGAAATCTTCCTGATAAGACGATGACGTTGGTGCTCCCAGAGGGCCTTGGAGGAATCTCCCAGATGCCTCCATACTGCATTGATGCCTGTGGGTAGGAGATCTGTCAGGCCCTCTTAGTCTAACTTTTCCCTGCAATTTGCTGTGCCACCTCGATGTGCCCACCAGAGTTGGTGAGGGGCTTCGCAGGGTGCCTGTCTCTGGGGACCAGACCAGAATAGCATATATGTAGTTTGCTAACATTTCCTTGAGACTGTGGTATTATTGCCCCCTCTAAGGAGTTGATACCCTTTTAGATCAACTGATCATTTCTTCTGCCTTCATTTACCTCTCCGAGCCCTTCTTTCCAGCGCTGCTTCAAGTTTTCCACATAGCCAGAAATCAGACCACCTTCACAGCCTGCACCCTAGTCTGATTCTTTTGTAAAACAGCCATGCTGAGAACCTGAATTTGGCTCCTTAGAACTCATGAGTCCATTTATTTTCAACAAAACCTAGAATGGCAGATAAAAGCCAATTTTTTTGAAATAGCGTTATTTTGTTAAAAAATAAGAGTTTAAGAAAACTATAGATTCATGTACAGTTTGTTGAAAAAAAGAAAGAAACTAATGATGGAGATTCCTTCCCCTTACACATGTTCTTCCCTCCACAGTAGCCTGTCACACAGTCACATAAAGACAAGCTGAACAATCACTTGGTTGAATTGGCTGAAACTGGTACAGCCTACCCATCCTGTTTGGAGTTCGTCAGCTTTTCATGTTCATGTTTGTATGCACAAGTGTGTGCTTCAGTCTTTGTACTACTTCATGAGGAGATTGGTGTGAATGCCACCACAACCAAGACAGGCGGTCCCACTGTGAAATCTCTCCTGCTACACATTTTAGTCACAGTCACCTGCCTCCTTCCCCTCTTCTCCAGCTCTTGGAAACCACTAATATGCTTCTCATCTCTGTAATTTTGTCATTCCAAGAATGGTGTATAAGTGGACTCACTCCATGGGGGACATTTGAAACCTCCTTTATTTAAACTCAGTGTAACTTTTTTGCATCAGTACTTCATTCTTTTTTATTGCTGTCTAGTATTCCATGGTCAGGATATACCATGTTTTGTTTCACCATTCATTCCTTGAAGGACATCTGGCTTTCTTTTATTCTTTTCCTCTTCACTTGGAATTTTCAGCATCTAAGTGCTGTGTGCTTTGGATTTATGTTCAAGTATCTCATTTTCTTTGGAAAAAGTTTAAATGTTACTGTGGTTTTGGTTTTAGTTTCCACATGTTTATTGTTACTATATAAAACTGTGATAAAGTCATGCACATTAATCTTGTATCTGTAACTTTATTGCTTCTTATTAGTTATAGGGGATTTTTAAGAAAGATTTCTTGAAATTTCTTACATAATTATGCCATTTGTAAATAGAAGCAGTATTTCTTTCTTTCCAATTTCATTTACATTTTGCATCTTATTTCTTAGGCTAGAGCTTCCAACACTATGCTAACAAGTATGGTAAGAAAGGACAGTCTTACCTTGTTCTCGGTCTTGGGAGGGAATCATTTAGTTTTTCACAATGAAGGATGGTAGTGGCTTTTTTGGCAAATGCTTAAAGGACAGGCTTGCTTTGTGTTTGGTCTTGTGAGCGATTCATTTTTTTTTTCAGAATGAAGGATTTTGGTGTTTTTTTTGGCAAATTTTTTTTGCGAGAGAGAGAGAGAGAGAGAGAGAGAGAGAGAGAGAGAGAGAGAGAGGAAGATGTTGCCCTATTTTTCTAGTTTTCTAAGAGTCTTTACAATGGACAGGTATGAAAATCTGTTTTCAAGATGCACGTCAAACCCCACAGCTGGACATGGACCCTTTGGTGTAGCTTTTTTTTTTCCTGCCCCAAGGCAGTGATGGCCTTGACTTGGGCTCTGGCTATGGAGAAAATGGCATCTGTCACATATACAGCAACAACTCAACAGGCTCAGAAGGTCACTTGTCTGACTCCTTTTTCTTCTCTCCCCTGTTTCCTTTCTCCTCTGATGCTGGCACCAGGGCCTCCCTCTCTCATTAAGGAAGTTTCAGGCCTTCTCTGAAGGTGACTTTGAGAGGTGCAGTGTGATCATCACTGTGGAATAGATTGTAAGCTAATGTGGAGCATTTCAGCAATATGTATGAATCACTCACAGTGGCCCTAGCAGGAGCTGATGGGTTGTCCTCCAGAGAGGCCATGTCCATTCATGGTCAAGCACCTCTCTTCAGTCATGGCTAGTAGGGCTGGTTACAGATATGTTTGCCTCTGTGGGGCTGGTTACAGAAGTCAGACAAATTTGGCAACACCATCTGCTCTACAGCAGATCTGAGATCAGTTTGGGAGATGCCCAGAAAGCCCGTGTAACTCCCTAGATTTGCTCTGTAACAATGGGAGACTGTACTTTCCACCTTTTTTGAGCTAAGGCCAACTCCAGATCAGGAAAGGAGCCTACCTGATCTCTCAGAAATCTGCATAGGGATGAAAGCCGCTCTGGAAACTGATGGGAAGCTGTGTAGCTCCTCTCCAGTCCAAGACAGAGTGGTTGGATCCTCAACCTAGTCATGCCAAGCGCATCTCTCAGTTGGTCATTGGACATCAGGCCCAGCCAAGCTTCCCAAGTGTGGGACCAGCAGGAGGGAGTCCTCAGCCCCCAAGGCCACCCTGCCATTCTCCCACATCGATAGAAGAAACTCCAGACCAATGCTAACAGTAATGTTGGTTCTTTATAAGTATCAGTTATACTTTTCTAACAAGTTGATAAGTATGATGACTGAGAAAAGGATTTAGAGTAGATGACATTGCTCAGTCCACATCAAAGTAATCAGATACCTGAGTGCTTTGATGGTTTAGAGATTAACACTGAAAAAGGTTCACTGTGGGCCTGGAATGTAGCTCAGAGGTCACGAACTTGTCTAGCATATGCAAGGCCCTGGGTTGGAGTCTCAGAACTTCAGTAGAAGGAAAAAAGATTGGTGTTAAAATCCCTAACTGGAGACCTCCCTTTTAAGATGCTACGATCAATATGTGCTTTTCAGCTTTTTAAGTTGCTAAGTTTTCTTTGCATTGTAGTTTTTCGATTCTTTACATTTTCCCCCATTCTGTGGCTGAATGAATGAATAAAATACTTCCCCTTCTCTGTGTGCTCTTTTTCTTCTTTTTAAAAACATGAGGTGGTATTAACGCTGCCACTGAAGAACTGAGCGCCCAGCAGCAACTCACTCTCTTATCAAACTATAGTGTTTTCTTGACAAACTAAGTTTTTTCTTTCACTTTTAGACAAAAGCTCTAATGGACAAACTTCAGAAGACGGTTTCATCTGAAGGAAGATTTAAAAACCTTAGAGAAAATCTTAAAAAGTATGTCTATGTTAATTATTAAATTATTCGCAATTCAAGAATATGTTTACATAATTTAGACGTAATACAAATGGTGACCTACCTACTTCATTGCTAGAAAAGAAAACAGGAAGTTACTTCCCTCATCTCGGCATTTGAGGCTTTTTCTTTTCACTTGGAATACTGTGCACATAGTAAGCATCTTATGGATGCCCTTTTGGTATGCAGTGTATCCCTACTGGGATATTAGTCAGACGTCTTAGTATAAAAAATTCTTGATTTGGTACTTTTAAATCTAAACGTAGTGATAGACTGTTTTTTTCTTCATGTAAATACTCTAGCAGCAGTTTATAATTGATTATTGCTATTTAATTTTGGCCTTTTATACCTTGGTCATTCTTTTTGACACACACACCTAGGGGAGAGAGAGAGAGAGAGAGAGAGAGAGAGAGAGAGAGAGAGAAACTGTTGTTTACAACTGTCTCATAATTTAATACATGAAGGTGATTCACTCTGAGAACATGGTCTTGTGATATATGGGTAAAAGATAAATAATAGACATATACATCTTGCTATTACAGTAGTATCATCAATAATAGAATTAAAGCACTTACTAAATATTTACTAAATGACACACTGCATGTTAGGTGCTTTATATGTCTTATGTAAGGCTCATAAGAAGGTACAGAGATCAGCTTTTCTGTCTCCATTTTATAGATCAGGAAACTGCAGACCAGAGAGTTTATTCAGTATCAGTGAGCAACTGGCCAAACTGGGATTCAAACTCTGTTCCTTCTGCACCCAGAGCCATATTCTTAGCCTCAGGTCTCTCCAGGAAAACCAAGTAGATCTACCTCTCCACCCCCCATAAAACAAGTGTCTCTCTTCATCCGTTTGGTGTGTAGTTGTGATGATTGTTAAGTCTTTACCTTCTAAAACATTTCCATACTAACTAAAACAGAAAATAAGTTCAGTGCAATGAATGCCAAGCTCTAAGACATTGTGTGGATGGGATAAGAACAGTGCTTCTTGGTCTTGCAGTTGTAACCCCCCAGCTGTTCCTTACCTTGGGATGTACTTGACAGACCTGGCGTTCATTGAAGAAGGAACACCAAACTTTACTGAAGAAGGCCTTGTCAATTTCTCCAAAATGCGAATGGTAAGTATTCATTTCTTAATAAGCCTGTGTCCATGAGTTTATGGCTAAGTGTGAAGAGGCTAGATATTGAGTGTTTGCTTCCAAATTTTGAAGAGGAAGAGATGGTAAAGATACCTGTTGACCAACGGAGGAGATTTTTGGCAGTTACTTCTGCTTGTAGTTTGGGTCCAGGGCATGGGGAAAAACTCCAAGGATGCTTTTCTAAGACTGACCAGTAGACAGATGTCAAAGGCTTCTTGTTACGTAGCTATGTTCTGATCTCAGGCTAGAAGTCTATGAGAAGTAGCAATCAGCTTCTCTCTCCTAAACCTGAGGCCCCAGCACAGCCACCCCATGATATCAAATTCAGTCTCTATTGTTGCAGGCATTTTACAAGTATAGGGTATAGGAAGTAATCATGTGGGGCTCTCCCTGACCCATTGGAGGAAGGAACTCAGGCATGAGGCCCATGGAGAATGTGCTATGATACAGGGGGGTACTTTGCTTTTGTTCTTTTCTCCCTGTTAGATATCACACATTATCCGAGAGATACGCCAGTTCCAGCAGACTTTCTACCGAATAAACCATCAGTCAAAGGTAATATTATTTGCTTTTGATGGAATTAATAAAGACAAATGTAGAAATTAGTGGGTTATAAAACCATACAGTTGAGCAATAATACCACAAGTTGACTTATAGTAACAAAAACCACAGAAAATTTCAGCAAATCTGATCAAGAGGAAAAAGAAAGCAAAAAGCAATTCATCAAGTTTTGTAGATTCTGTGTCTTGTGTTTCTTGTGTTCCTTGTGTTTCTACGATTTCCACCCCACTCTGAGCTTTCTAGACTACAAAATGCATTTCACAAATAGAGTTCTCTAAAAAGAAAAGTAGAGCATCTTGTGCCCACTCTGCATAAAACATTTTATTGTTTTCCCATTGTTCCTAGGATTAAAAATAAAAGTCACTGCATGATCAGGAGCATCATATTACATGACCCTTCTTTCTTCTTAAGACACCCCCTTACTCTTTAATTGGTCTGCCTTTTCTTTAAAATTTTTTTATTTATTTTTATTTTATGTGTATGTTTTGCCTATGTATATGTAAGTGCACCTGTGCATGTAATACCTGCAGAGGTTGTAAGAGACCTCTCGATAGCCTGAATGGTTGTTAGCAGCTATGCGGGTGCTGGGAACTGAACCTGGGTCCTCTGAAAGAGCAGCTAGTGCTCTTAACTGCTGTACATCTGTGGGCACTGCATATGATGTGCTTACATATATATAGGCACACATGTATGCATAAAATAAAAATAAATAAATCTTAAAAAAAATCTCATTCAACATAACAATGATCTTTATAATGCCTAGGAATAAGTGGGGGAAAAAAGTGCCAGAAAAAAAAAGAAAACAAAACAAACAACCTACCATTCAATAAATGGAATAGAAATTTGAGCTATTTTATATCAGCCACAAAAATAGATTCCAGATGTTTATTACCTAAATATAAGAAGAAGTGTTTATTATACTTAAATAAAGTATAGGATAAATATCCATAACGTTTGGATTGGAAAGACCTTAGGTACAGAATGTAAAAGGTACAAACAACAAGCTTCATGGTGTTTGTCACATGAAATTAAAGTTCTGCATGATGGTGGTCAATTATTTAAAAGTCAAAATACAAGACAATATTTTCAATGCATAAAATAAACAGAACAAAAACATTCTTACAAACCTATAAGAAAAGTATAAGCAACAGAAAGATTGTCAACTTTGCAAAGCATTAATTTATAGAAGAAATGGAAGTTACGGATAAGCATATGAAAAGTTATCAACTTTACTATGAAAACACAAATTATGAGATATCATTCACCTGCCAGATTAATAGATGTTCAAATAGTTGTTAATATCAAGCATCAGTTAAAATATGAGAAAGCAGGTTCTCTAATGTACCACAGAATCAGTAGCTCTGAAAGTCATTTCACATCATTTTGTTAAATTAAGCATTATATTCTGGAGCAGTGTACAGTGACACCTACCAGTAACCTCCATTACTCCAGAGGCTGAGGTAGAAGGATCACAAGTCTGAGGCTTACCTGGGTTATATAGAAAGTTCTAACCTAGATCACCCAGCTCTCAAGACAACAACATCCACAGCCTTGTCTACTGAGCAACTGAATCTCATGTGTACATTGTTGGTGAAAATAAAATAGTTGATACAATAACTGTGGAAAACAATGCCATTTGGTGGTTTCTTAAAATGTTAACTATATGTCTGTCTTATAACCAAAGCAAATTTTCTCCAATGTGGATATCAAATCATCTCCACTAAAAGTCTTGTATAGAACATTAATAACACTTTTTAATAATAGCCAGTAATGGGAAACAGATCACGTGTCAGTCAACAGCTGAATGCTAATTGAATTACAGTGGAGTTCTTGAATGGGACACTACTCAGTAGCAGGAGTACAAACCACATTCACAATGTGGATGAATATCAAAACATTTGTACTGAGAGAAAGAAGCCAGACAGGAAGGAGTATGCGCTGTGTGACTCCACATATGAGATTGCAGACAAAATTAGTATGGGTGACAGAAATCAAAGCAGCAACTGTTCCTGGAAGCAAACTGTAGTGAGCTGAATGAGGAACTTTCCGGGGTGATGGGGTTGCTCCATGTCCTGAGTATGGAAGATACATGAGAAGATGTATTTGTCAGAACTGGTCAAATGACTCATTCTACCTATGAATATTGTGTTTTAATAAGAAGAAGGAAAGATTTTCATGGAAGCATTTCATACCTCAACATCTTGATTTCTAGATTTATTTCTTTTCCTTATTCCTGATCAGAACATACACACATGAGCACCAGGAAACACAATGGCAAGAATTTCACTCTAGCTGTGTGATAGTGAAATACTGATAGTAACTCAACATCTATCAGCATGAGATCATTAAAGCCACTGGTAGGCTGCACTCTCAATACTGTAAGCAGTTAGAGTTCTATGTGCCTTTCTTACAGAGATGAAAGCAAACTTCAATGGGAAATATAATATTTATCACTTTAAGGAGAAGGGATGATAAGTATATGTGTGCAGTAACACATCTGGGACAATATACACCAAGTGATAACAGCTCTTAAGGGCACTGGGGTTTTTTGTTTTTGTTTTTGTTTTTTTTGGGGGGGGTTGTCTTTTTGAGACAGGTTCTTCCTGTAGCCCCAGCTGGCCTGGAACTTGCTATGTAGACCAAGCTGCCCTTGAAGTCACAGAGATCCACCTGCCTCCCTGCCTCCCCAGTGCTGGGATTAAAGGCATGCGCTACCATGCCCTGGCTAATACTTGACTTCTTTTTACAATAAAAATATATTCATTATTTTTTGAGGTATGTAACATTTTTAAACATCTATAAGAAAATGTTCAATTATGTCAGATTCCATTCAGAAAATGCACCATTGGTATTCTAAAAGAAGTATGAGCTGGGATTTCTGTTTTTCATTTTTTCAGGTCACACAGTACCTGCTTGACAAAGCCCTCATCATAGATGAAGATACACTCTATGAACTATTGCTCAAAATTGAGCCTCGACTCCCTGCTTGAAGATCTGGCCTTGTCCCTGAGACCACCGTGTTTTCATGGGAAGTGAGTTACACACGGCACAGCAGGAACCCAGAGAGACAACGCCTGCCTCCTTTTTCCACCAAAGATGGAACCAGATTGCTATTCAATCTCTAGGCAGAGTGAAGCCCAGCCACATGGGTCAAAGACAGATAGATGCTCCAGCCTTGGGTGGGAAGGTGAAAAGGCCAAAGGTTAGAGAAGCAGATGGCGCATTCTGAATAAAAGGATGTAATGTGAATGGTAGTAACCATTGTAATGAAGCAAGAATGAAGGTAAACTTTCCTCTGTCCCATGTTCTCTTAGAACCTGGGGACAAGTACTCACCAAGTGGAACTGTATTGCTTCTTTGGCACTTTACTGGCCTGGGTGCACCTCTACCAATCTTCTAGGATTTAACTGCTTCCATTACACTTCCTTTTATAACAAGCTTCACAGAGGCCGAAGCTTCCTCTCTAGGGCCCACACATAAGCGATTTCAGCCTGCAGCATGTGCATGGTTCTCAGTGCATTATAATACTCATATTTGAGGAATGGTGTGCTCTGAAACAGCCTTTTCAGTCTTTAGGCAACAGGGCAGAAATAAAAGATTGAAAGAAACAAAGTGGATTTGTTGGTAGTATATCCGTAATTATAGACAGTAGGCAGTATTCACAGGCTTGAGCAGGGGCTTCTTTGCAAGCCTGGTGGTTCCAAGAAACCACTGCCTTGGACAGGTAGCTATGGAGTGTTCAGAAAGGAATGTGTCTATGCAGCTAACTGGCAAAACTGTGGAAGGAGATAGAAGGCCGCCAAGTCCTACGGGAAGGAGTTTCATGAAGTGAAAATTTCACCTAAAATTCGTCTTTGTACCTTTTGTTTCTGGTTTTCTTTCCTCCTGTAGTACTCTAGGAATCTTTTCTGATTTGCACAAACTTTTTTTAAGGCTCAGTATGAGCATTGGCTGTGCTTTTTAAAGAAATGCTTTATGGGACTTTCTTTTGAAAACTCACACTTCTGTATGCTGCTGGTCGATAGTCCTCCCCCACCCCGGTCATCTTTGTTTAAAAATCGTTTTGAGATCATTCTGAGTAAGTGTACTGTAAGTGTGTAGGAAATAGCCCCAACCACTCCACAGCTCTGATAGCAGAAGACCAAATGCAGGGGTTTGCCCTGCACCCCAAGACTGGGGAAGTGACCTCACTTTCCCCAAGATCACCAGTTGTTAAATAAATAGGGCTATCTCATTGTTTACCTCCCTCTTCTCAGGGAGATCACTGCTTTAAAAGCAGGAAGAGACGGCAGTATGGGGTTTTATTGCCTGAACCAACTGTACCTGGCATTTTCTCTTAGAGGCGTGATGCTTATTGATGCTGACAATGACGATTGATCTGCCTGGCTGTTCTCCCTCTTCCTTTGCACTTTATGTGGTAGAACTAACAACTGGCTAATAAATTCTGCTTGCTGGCTCTGCAGGCCCAGTGGAAAAGCTGGCACTGGTAATGTACCGTAGAATTAAAGAAGGTACATTTTCTGCACAGCAAGGGTCATCTGTATATAATAATAACATAGAGAAATATCAACTAAGTAAAACAAAATATTTATAATACATGAATACCACTCCAAAAATATTTTCAATCGTTCATGTTAGCCAACAGTGTAGCACTAAGCCTCGCAAGGCTTACTGATGGATGCTTTCTCTTTTCCTTTTCAACACGTTGCTTGTTTGTTCTCTTCAGTTTCAAATAAGAGGTCTATGCATCTTGACGCATGATGAAAAGCATGGGTTGTTGGATTCTAACTGCACACATACCTTGTGATTTATTTCTTAGTGTTCAGAAATTGAGGGCTTGAAATATGTGTCAGTTGCACCAAACACCTCAAGGTCTTACAGAAGAAAAGTCAAGGTTAACCTTCCTGAGAGGACCAACAAATACTAGTCAGGCAAAGCACCGCGCCTGAAGATCTATGCTTTCCGCTGTGCCTCGATTTCCCCTAGCCCTCCAGAGGTAAAGGATGGCTCTGGGTGCACTTTCCTTGGAAGTCTGGGCTCTTATTTCGCTGACCCAAATGTTCCAGAAGCCACTGAAACCATTATTATTAAAGAAAAATAAGATAGAGAAATTTCAAATGCTCCTCTCTTGTTGAAATACAGCTTTTCCTTAGCTAGTGGTGAAGCTTTTGAGCCCATTTCCTGTAGCATGTTGGAAGCGCCCCCAGTAGTCATTTGTGGGTACTGCCATTGCAATGCTGACTTCCGTGATAGTTTCTTCAGCTTGTTAGCGCTGAAGAGACCTGTATCATGTATGGGTTAGCTGAAATAGAAATGCACATTGAAAACAAAAAAACCTCAACGTGGTTTCATTTAACATACACCAGAGCAGTTTGTGGTTTCCTTTCTGATTGTTTAAATCCCTCAACTTTTGAGTTTTATATGTATCTGTGGCACACAATGCACATGGCTCTGGTCTGTATCTGCCAATGTCCTCCTCTATGAGCCCCATTTCTAAGAGCAGCTAGGAGGACAGCCTCTAAATGCCAATCTGTGAGCATTTATACTGAAGAATTAACCCAGGAAACCAGAAGACAATCCAATTTCTACTTTCAAATGACTACTCAACATTTTGTCCTGTCAGTGGAATTACCCTGAGGATTTTAGGGAATGCCTTTGGTTATTAAGACATTCAGTCTTACTGCAAGAACAAATCTCTTACCTAAGCCAGTACAGTTTCTGACAGTTTCAAGTATGAAGCAGAATTCTGTCACTTTTCTTCAGCGTTTCTCCAGACAAATTTGAAGGGGGAATTTTAAACTGCTGTGGCAATATTTTGGAGTGATTCTAACACAAAAGTCCCTCTGTTATTGTCAGTTAAATGTCAGTAAATCTCAAAGTACTACTTATAAACAAGTAAAACTAATAGACACTGGGTCATTTGCAGAGAAAAATCCATCCTGTGTCATTTAAAGTAGCATTGGGCCTTCCCTTGTTATATAGATAAGATTGTGTGCCACCAGTGATTGGGAATCTTACATAAAATATAATGCACTAAAGCAGTGATTCCTAATGAAGTCAACTTCCACTCAAAACAAGAGATTTTCTTTTCAAAAGTTAATTTTATTCCCCCTTGGGGGAAAAAAAAAACCCAGCTTCCAAAATGCATCATCTTTACTATTGTTTCTAGCCACGCTAATATCCACAGACGCAGGAAATTAATGAATGAAATTCATTTTCATTCTATGAGAAATAAGATTGTAGTTTAATGACTTTATTACAAATCACCATGTGAATTCCTGGTAATGAGAATCTACTTGATTGAATCTAATCAGGGTCATTTCTCAGTGGATGCTGGTGACTTAAAATTAAAGCAAGGCACACAACGAAAGTAGAAAGCAACCTTTTGTTGTAGGTTCTAACACATGAATGAAGGATTCAGCAAGTTACTCATCTCAGCTGCCTCAGGTGTGGGATGACATTAATATTAGGGTTGATTGTTCTTGATCTGACCTGCTCAAGGAAAATAATCATTTTACTTCACAAAGTTGAACCATTGTCTTTTATACAATCCACTTCAGTTTTTGCCAGAAAGCTGGTTGTAAAAGAGTGCTGGACCAGACCTGAGTTTCAGCCCAGATCTGCATTTTCCAATTAGAAAATCTTAGGCTGGTGTTTGCACCTCTCTGAGCCTCAGCTTCCTCGTGTGCAAAATGGGATTAACAGTAATTCCTGTGCTGTCTACCTCACAGGCTGTCATGAAGACCAAATGGGTTGGACTGTAAACTGTCAAGTGCTGTCCAAATGTGAGGTAACTGATTACTATCTTTTGTCTCTCTTTTGCAGAGGAATTAAATGTACTTCTTTATTGTTTGTTTGTGTGTGTGTGTGTGTGTGTGTGTATATATGTGTGTGTGTGTATACAAACATACACGTTACTTTGAGAAGTATATTGTTTGTGTCCAGTTACTTTACAAATCTGCTGACATTTGTAATTCTGATGGAAGGATTTGTGCTGTCGCCTAATACTTGCTGAGTGAGGTGTAGGTTATACCTATATGCAAATTAAACTTTGCCTTTCTTCAACTTGGAATCTCATAGTTTCTTTATTTAGCTCTTTTTCCATTTTCTGCATTATCTTTCTTCACAGCAATGGGCTCCTTCAGATATCCTTTTACTTCTAAAGTCAAAGTATGAAAACACTTAGAAGAAGCCCATCTTTTAGCACTAAATCATTAATCAGACAATTGGAGGGACTCTCCAAAAAGCTATGATGAAGGATCGTCCAGTCCACTCACTCTCTAGTTGTTAACTCTGTGCAGTGACATTCCCAGCCCATGTCTGACTACTTCCAGTCCCAGAGAACCCACTTCTGCCCAGGTAACTCAGTTCATGCGGGGGAAACCTCGAACTTCTGAGCAGGCTGCAGAGGCTGGCGAGGTGACTCACCACTATCTCTGACCTTCAGGGGCTTCTGAGCTGTCTCAAGGTTGTAACCGCCTTTAAACATAAAACTTATGACAGGTGTGGTGGTGTACACCTTTAATACCAGCACTCAGGTAGCAGAGGCGGGTGGATCTCAGTGAGACTGAGGCCAGCCTAGCCTACATAGTGAGTTCCAGGCCAGCTGGATCTACAGGGAGGCCCTGTCTCAAAAAAAAAAAAAAAAAGAGTATTAATAATGGGATTCATATGTATTCCTAGAATGACTGTATATAGAGAGCTCACATTGACTAATATATGGGAAAACACTTTCATCTGATAAATGAATTGTCCTGACGTTTAGAGCTGAAAGATCAGGATACAGCTGTTGACACAAGAGAAAACTGCAGAAAGAGACCTCTTCTGCCCATTTAGCTTTCTTTTCCAGTTGTGATGATGGGAGCTCGTGGGGATACAATGACACAGGTTTCGCACATCTTCCTATTTGGCTACCACACAAAGCAATGCCCTTGTGGTTCTGGAACTGGCTGTATCCACATTGTATCTGGATTCAGGAATAGCAAAGGAAATAAGCCTAGGGCAGATTTCCAAAGCAGGTGACGTAGCAGTTACACACTTCTTTTCCCTGTGGCAAAGGCCAACCACAGGGCAACACTGAGCTTGAGGGAATTGCCATTGATGAGAAAGGGATATAACAGGAATTGTGTGAGAATACTTTTCAGAAATCTGTAATGACAGCTGCCAGTTACTTGGAGAGATTTTCCTCCCTCATCACAGCTGTTGGACCACAGGCTTAGACCTAGATAGCACCCCCTTTTCTTCTGACCTGACTCACTAAAATATAAATTTATATTACTATGGCAGTAAGGAGTGTGGAGGGGCCCCTAAATGTTGATATCAAAGAATTACAGAGAAATAAAAGGATTTGGGGGGGCACTGCCATTCTTTTTTTAAAAAATTATTTTATGTGTTTGAGTGTATTGCCTGCATATGTGTAAGTGCATCCATGTTGTGCTAGCCCTGCAGAAGTCAGAAGAGGGCATTGGATTCCCTGGAACTGGAGCTACAGATGATTGTTAGCCACTATGTGGGTACTGGGAATCAAACCCTGGTCTGCTCTGCAAGAGCAGGCAGTGCTCTTAACTGCTGAGCCATCTCTCCAGCTGTAACTGCCATTCTTTAAAAATCTGCATTTCTCCACTCTCCAAAAGCCTTTCCATTTTCTGGATCTGAGATCCAGGCTATGTCAGGTCACTGGAACTGACTTTGAAACAAATGTTTGCATGCACAAGAGCTATTTTGAGAAGAACTAAGCCTCCACTTCCCCTTGTCCTGTCCCAGATGCAGAAGTCAGCCCTTCAGCCCCACAGTCCTGCCTGTGCCAGGAGAAGAGGCTGCTGGGGCTCAGGGACTGTGATCCATGATGACAGAACATACCAGCTGAGACTCAGAATCTGGAGGATCATGATGTCAGTGTGGTTGGCTCCAATCAGATTGCTTTAATGAAACAACAGACAAGCCTAGAAAATAGCTAAGTATATCACATGTAAAAGAGTATCACTTTGTAAAAATAGCCACTCTGTGTAAGCTATTTCATAGTGATAGCATGTGCACACACTAACCAGTAGAGCCAACACACTTGGTAAGTGCTTGAATTCTAAGTGCACTGCCAAGGAGATTTACTTGTGAGTATACTCACATAACTCTTCAAGAACCTTTCCAGTTCCCGGGAGATCTCCTTGTGTGCTCTCCCAGTCTGTATCTCATGAAAAGGCAAAAGTACTTTTGTTTTGGGTCAAGCTTAAAGAATTGGAAACTTTGTCCTAGAAGCACACTGATATGTTTGGGCGAAAGGCCATCCCTGAACCCTACCACCATGTTCCGTCCACCCCTCTGAGCCTGGCTAGGGCCAAAGGAGTCAGCTGGTGACACTTCCGTGGCTGCAGAAACTGGGTACGTGACAACTTGGAGAAGCCTAGACAGGCTCCTGTGAAATGGCAGGGCTGCTGTTCCAAACCCTGGTGGGTTGTTGCTATTTACAGGTAACCTTTCTGGTGGTGGATGTCCCTAGGAGGCTATTTTTAAGCAGGGATAAGGCTTACCAGGCCTGTCTAGTGGTCCTGTGAGCTGGTGTGTATAGAAAGTGAGAAGGTCTAGTTGTCCACTTCAGTGGCCTGATCTTGAACATGACACCGATGGTCATTGTCCCTGAATCTGAGCCCCACACAGCAAGTTGGAAGGAGGCCTTTGGGTACCTGGTTCAGAATCTGATTAACAGCTGAAGAGCAGTTGCTTTAGACTCCTTCCATGGCTTGCAGAATTTATTCTACAGGGCTAACTCCCACACCCCTTCAAAAAAAAGAAAAAAACTAGTGCTTCTCTTGCTGGCTCTGGTACCCTAAGGCCTGGTCCCACAGGTCTGGGCAGCCTGGCAGTAAGCTGCAAGTCGAAGACCTCCTTTCAACACTGGGAAAGCAGCCTGCAGGCAGTAACTGGCAGGCCCAGGAGGAGCTCTGCTTTTTTCTTCAAGGGGAAGAGAAAAGGTTCAGAGAAATGACCCATGTTAGAAAGGGTTCTTGGCCCATTGACAGAAGAGTCAGAGGCTGGCCATTCAAGGGAGAGCCAGAGCAGCCTGAAGTCTGCAGCGGCATTGGCCAGGAAAGACCCTCAGCTCCGCCCAGCCCAAGAGCCTTTTCAAAGGCTGTGCCTCTGGCTCCTGTTACACTTCTTGGCTGTGTGTGGACGCAGCAGGATCTGGACTGGACAGACTCCTCCAGCTTCAAGGTCAGTGAGATTATCACAATCACAATGCTTTATTTCTCCAAAGAGGGGAAGTTCTAGATATGTGTGAAGAGCCTTAGCACAGAGGACCCTAACCATGTATATAACACACTTTCTGGGGAGACTGCACATGTGGGAGAGAGTAATGGGAACTTTCAGGGTCACCTTATCAGGACCCTCCTGTTCCTTGTACACTAGCAGGGGGCCACTAGCAGGGGGTACACTAGCAGGGGATACATTAGCTGGGCAGCTAGCAAGAAGACCCAGAACCACAGCTGTAGTTGCTTGCAGTACCTGTTTTATACTGAACCAACAGTTCTTGTTAAAAAACAAATCTAAATTGGAAATTGGCACTGAACTTGGGGTAACTCCAAATTTCAAATTTTATTCCTTAATAATATACAGAGAACAATAAACTTGTGTTGATAGTGTTTTTCCTCAGGAGCATCGAGAGAAGTACTTAGTAATTTGGGATGAACTAGCTAGAAATTAAAATTTTTGATGCCCTCCAAAAGAAAAACATTATTTACTAATAAGCTGAATCCAAGTAAACAGGTTAATGTTACTGTCAGAGTTTCATTTTTGATTTCCTGATACACTGAAAATGAACCAAGTAACCCCCTTCCCCCAAACCCAGTGAGATTTGAAAAAAAGAAATTGAAAACAAATTTCAGAATGGGCTGAGTGTCAGCCTGCTTCTTACTTTCTTGGCTCTCGGGGGTTAGTTACATCAGGCCTACTCTCGTCTCTGAGTGAGCAACATCTCTGCTTTGAAAGTTCTGCTTTGAATGTGTGGAGAGAGCCACTTGCCCAAACAAACCGAAACTCCTTGATGTCCTCAGTGTTGCCCTTTGCATCTTCCCTCAAGCCTGGCCAGGCTCTGTGACTGCTGCAGTGTCAGCTGGAGTCTCTGAGATGATAGTCAGTGCCCTCATGACAGTGTCACATTAGTAAACCACGTGCTTTCCAGAAGGCTGCCTTCTGTCTGCTGTTCTTACTTTCTGTTGCATGCATGTGGTGCCCCTGATCTGTTGCCTGACTTCTCGTGGAGGTGGCAGGAGAACTTTGTCATGAACTGGCTCTTCCAGGATCTGCTGGCCATTGCTGGAGCTCTGGATTCCTCCTGGTATTGGCAGACACCTCTTCCAAAGCCCCCAGGCTTAGAGCTGATCACATCTGCGGGCTAAGCCATCAGACTCCATGTACAGTATAGACTCTGCCAGCTTCATGGTCATATAATAGCTTCAGAGAACAGGTTGGGGACCAGAGCACTCTATCTAAAAGAGTAGCCAAGGCAAGTCTAAGAAACAGGGGTTGGGGATTGGAATGGGTGGCATAGACAGACGCAGGAGGGGGCTGAATCTAGAACAAACTTGGCCCACAGGCTGGAGGTCCTGGTCCCCATCTCTGCCACAGTCTGGAGAAAGATCAATTCCTCTCTCTTAAGGACACCATGAAGAGCTGGTCACCAGCATTCTGGGAGTTCCTGCACCCTCAGTCAGGCACCCCAGGTGGAGCCAATCTTGAAGGTGACTGTTGGAGGTCATACCGGTGAACCTCTGCCTAGACAGCCTCTGCAATTCCTTCCCTTGGTCAGAGATGTCATCCCACCCTATTACAGTCTCTCAGAGGACAGGGTAGCCCGCAGAGCCCCATTTTCTTGAGATGTTTCCCTTTGGAAAATAAGGCAGGAATAATCCCATGCCTTCTTTAATGTACAGCCTGATGGACTATTAAGGAAAAATATGAATTTTAATCCTTGTTTTCTCTCTGTCTCTGTCAACAAAGTTCATCTGAGAAGTTTGTGGTGGGAACACCAACACAGCTAGAAAAAAAACATGTGTCTTGTCTTGACAGATCTT